TGTTGGATTTAATTTGCTAATATTTTGAAGAGTTTTGCATCTATGTTCATGAGAGATAATTGGTCTGTAGATTTCTTTTCTCACAATGTCTTTGTCTGTTTTTGGTATTAGGATAATGCTGACCTCATAGAATGGGTTAGGAAGTATACCTTTGACTTCTATACTTTGACAAAAATTATAGAGATTTGGTGTAACTTTTAAAAAATGTTTGGTAGAATTCACCACTGAACCCATTTGGTCTTGGTGCTTTCTGTCTTGGAAGGTTATTAACTGATCTATTAGGATTAATAATTTCTTTAATAGACACAGGCCTGTTCAGGTTATCTGTTTCTTCTCATGCAAGTTTTAGCAAATTATGTCCTTCATGGAATTGGTTAATTTCACCTAAATTATCGAATTTGTAGGTATAAGGGTTTTTTATAGTATTCCTTTATTTCCCTATGATAGCCATAGGATCTGTAGTGATTGTATCAGGAGGTACAACTTTTAATTCCTATTTTGTGGATAAGGAATGAGAGCTAAGAAGATTACTTGATATGCCCAGGGTCACATAGCTAATCAAGGTGAAAGCTGGTGTTCTAACCCCAGACTGTACAACCTAAGGCTGGAACATTCAGTCTCAGCAACCCTTACTTCCCAGAGATTGGTGGCAAGGCAGTTCTGGGAACATAGGTACCTGGTAACTATTTAGCCAAGGAGATTAAAGAGACTCATTCATTTTTCATGGCCTGCCTCAAAATTCTCCTGGATGTAGATAGTAGACCCAGCCCTCCTCATTGTACCTCCTTGGCCTATGAAGGCATTTATAAGAGTTTGAGCTCCTTTGAGGTGATGAGAGGACATGATGCAGAAAAGGAAAATACTTTGATGCCAGACAGAGCTGGATTTAAATGATGGCTCAAAATTTAACCAATTCTATGAAGATGGGACAGAAAACTCTAAATTTTAGTTTCCTCATGTATAAAATGGGTAAAATTTCATTTGTTTCACAGGATTGTTATACATGTTAACTAGAAAAATTTAGCCTGCATTCAGGCATCTAGTATTTTTTGAGCATTTATTATGTGCAGAGGCCATTAGGAACTTGCTCCATGCCCATTACTATCCTTTCAGGACAGGGATTATATATTCCATGCTCTTCATCACCATGACCCAGGAGACAGCCTAGGATAGAACATGTGCTCATTAAATGGCAAGCATATGATGTTTACATAAATTAACAAATAAATAAAATATAAGTCAAAACTCCATGACATGACATATATAGCCCACCTAGTTTATCTTTGTGGCCCCATATGTCCTCCAGCTACACATGATTGGTAGCTGGAGGGTAGGGGTGTAATTGGTATTCGGCGAACAAACCACGTCTTTCCATGTCTCAGCATCAACCCAGTTCTCAAATAATTCTCAGTCTTGAATGCCTGCCACACCCTTTTTGTCCACCTGGCAAGTTACTCAGTATCTTAGTTTAACCTAATGGAAAATTCAGAATAAATCTACTGCTTCTCTGCATGCCAGCTTTTCAAATAATTGAAATCATTCTCCATGACTCCCTTCCTTATCCTGTCCTTCCGGGTCATATTTTCTTCCTGTTCCCAATAACTCTTGCAGGTGATGGTCTGAATTCCATGGTATCTTCAGTCCTCCCCACTCAGCCAGTTGCCTCTTAGTCATTGTCTTGGGCTTCCTGATGGCTCAGGCAGTAAGAGTCTGCCTGCAACGAGGGAGACCCGGGTTCAATCCCTGAGTCAGGAAGAGCTTCTGGAGAAGGAAATGGCAACTCACTTCCATATTTTTGCCTGGAAAATCCCATGGGCAGAAGAGCCTGGCAGGCTATGGTCCATTGGGATGCAAGAGTCAGACACGACTGAGCAACTAACATGTTCACTTTCACTTTCTTAACCGTTCTTTCACTGGCTATTTCTTGAGCACCTCCTGGATGGCAGACAAAATAGGTTTTGTCACAAGAAGAAAAATTTGTGAAGCTTATATTCTAGCGAGGAGCTGGACCACAAACAAATAAAAATTGAATTTATATATTGGCTGTAGATGCATCAGAAAGAAAAAGAAAATGAGCAGGTGAGGAGAGAAGGGAGAGTGTGAAGATTACGGATGGGTGCACCTCTGAAGCGAGATGCTGAAGGAAATGAGGGTGCAAGCCGTGTGACTGTCTGGGGGAGGTGCCTCCCAGACGGAGAGAAGAGCTAGTATAAATGCCCTCAGGCAAGAGCAACTCTGTGTGTTTGTGGCAGTGCCGGGGGCCCATGTGATAGAGCAGAGAGAGTAGGGGAAAGCACAGCTGCAGATGAGTTCTAAGAGGAACCGAGGGCAGATTATGTAGGTCCTCCAGGACAATGAGAAGGACATTGTTTTAAGTGAGATGGAAATTTAACAGGACTTTACAAAGCTGAGTTTTAGGGGAGCAAGCATAGAAACAGAGAGACCTAGTCAGGGGTTATTGCAGTAACCACAGCAGGAGATGATGGTGACTAGAAACTGCAAATGCATGCGAATTCTGGATGTACTTTGAAAGCAGAGCTCACTGCGTTTGTTAAAGGATCAAATGTGGGGCAGGAGACAGTATACCTCAGTCTCCTTCTTTATAAATAGGGATAATATTTGTACTATGCAGTTGTTAAGCTTCACAGTAGATGCTCAAGAAATGTGAATTTTCTCTCTCAGCAACTCAGTTGGACCATTAATTATGGTAGATTATTTAAAGTCTGGGTAGAGAGGAGAAATGAGGAATTTCAAGTACCTGAAATAAAGTGAAAGGTGCTCAGTCGTGTCTGACCCTTTGTGACCACATGGACTATACAGTCCATGGAGTTCTCCAGGCCAGAATACTGGAGTGGGTAGCCTTTCCCTTCTCCAGGGGATCTTCCCAACCCAGGGATTGAACCCAGGTCTCCCGCATTGCAGGCAGATTCTTTACCAGCTGAGCCACAAGGGAAGCCCAAGAATACTGGAATGGGTAGCCTATCCCTTCTCCTGTGGATCTTCCCGACCCAGGAATCAAACCAGGGTTTCCTGCATTGCAGGCCAGTTTTTTACCAACTGAGCTATAAGGGAAGCCACCTGTGGGACGCTAAAAGGGAGAGGTACCATGGGAAACACATAGTGCATGATTTAGGATATAGTTCAGGGTGAAAATTTGGGAGATGTCTTTGAGTATGTAGCCCTGAAACTACAGGGGTAAGTTAAGAATAGAGTCCTTTCCCTTACCATAGTGACACTGTTCAATATTCATGGGACTAATATATACTTTAAAGAGGAAATCACAGTGTCGTTAGAAGCAGAATGAAAAATATGGTATCATATGAAATGAGGGAATACTTTTTTTCTGGAATATTGGGCTAAGAGAAGCCAGGAAAAATGAGCTGACATATTGGTATAGTTTCTTGGAAATATACCTTAAAGGGAACCAAACATCTCCATGGTTGTTAGTAATCAAGGTAGGGAAGACAGTTTAGGCAACATGCCTGTAAATCAAAGAGGCTTGGGTCTTCATCCAGGCCTTCCCCCTGCACTATATTATCAGTTTTTTAACAATAGCCATGGAATTGTTATCGGTTTGACTGGCTGATAGCACCTGTGGTTGCTCAGATTTGGATTCTGCATCTATGGGCATGCTGGCTTTGCACAGATCTGTGGTCCATGGGAGCCCCTAGGGACACATGATAAATTCCATGCAACTATTTGTGTATTGCAAAGGCTAGTCCCCTCTCTTACTGGTTTATTGGTATTTCTCCACCTGCCCCAGGTACCTGAGAATCAACAGAACTGGGCTCTTTCCTGACTCTATCATCACCTAGTGGTATCTGTGTGTTGAGATGATTGATCTGATCTGAACACTTGCACAATCATGTGTAGTTCTGGCCCCACACTGTGAGAACACAAATACACTATGATTCCAGAAGAGTGTGTCAGGATGAAACAGAGGGGATGTGTGGCTGGAAAATGATGTATAAGGATGAACTGAAAGAGAGTGTTTTTTTTGTTTCTTTTTTTTTTTTTTTGCATGGGGGATAGGAGATTCAAGTAGGATGTGTCTTCAAACACTGTAAGGGCAACTATTTGGGAGAGAAATTGACTTATTCCAATTTCATATTGACTAATATAGGGATGGATCAAAGAGATATATTTTGGTTCATTGTCTTAAAAGGTATTTCTAATAACATTACCATCCAACTGTAAAATGAGCTGCCTTTGGAGGAGGATGACTGAAGGAACCAAACTTTTTAGCCTGGATTCAAGCATTGGATCTGACATTGGACTAGATGAATAACACCTTCTTGCCTCCTCCTCCCTTCTTCTCATTATCTCCCCTTCCTATCTCTGTGGTCCTCTCACTTAACCTCAGAGGAACAAACCTATCTGGACTTGAATTGTGTTGGTCTAAAAGTTCATTCAAAATGAACTTTTTGGCCAACTCAATACTAAGTGGGAGTCAAAGGGGGCCCTTTGTCTGTAAGACCCAACCTTTCAAAGTCAAAGGGGCCCCTTTGTCTGCAAGATTTATACTTTCAGTTTGATCCAAGATGTTCATAACTTTTTTGAGTGATTAATAGGGAAGGCAAATACTTTTCATTCCTCAGGGCTACCAATGACTGTATGTTAAGTGACCTCATCTGGGCATCAAATGGCACCCTACCCCCTGAAGGTTACTTCTCCTTGGTTGGCCCCAGGTCAAGGTTTGATCCAGTTTGCTTTGAGGGGAGGAATGTGAAGCATGCCCTCTGTGAAAGCCCAGAACAGATGTTATGTTTTCTTTTATGACTGGCTTTGCTAACTGGTTTGTGAGCTGGGCCCTTGGAAGTCAAACCAGGCTTGACCAGGGCTGTTAATGAAGAGATGATCAGGTCCCTCAGACAAAGGGGGAAAGTCCAGAGGATAAGATGTAGGAAGGTGGACTGTTCTAGAAGCTGGGGGAATATGCAGGAGTCTCAAGACCAAAAGGAATCTAACAGGCCCAACAGTTTGACCCCTTGATTTTACAGATGAGGAAACTGAAGGGCAGAGAGACGGACTTCCTTGAAGTCATGCAGAAAAGCAAACCCATGAGGACTAAGATGGGGGCAAAGCGAGAGAGGCCCCTGCACAACCCTGAGGGAGTCCTCCTGACATTTTCATCTGCCTCAATCCTGAACCCTGTGCCACCTAAGCTATGGAACTCACCTGCCACTCTCAAAGTCCCTCCAAAGAGCTTCTAATCATGGAAGGTACCATGCTTCTTGCAGATGATTCTATCCCAGTTAGACTAAAGAAGGACCCCTGACCATAGGCCAATACAGTCTGGCTAGCATCTTAAGGTAGTCTAGTGTGGGCAGTTGTCCCATGGGCCTAAAGTGATTTAACAATCAGATTCTCTCTTGGGACATTGAATCAGCAATAAGAGGAGACAGTCGTTAGTGGTTGAGAGATAAAGTCAAGGGCATTCTTGCTCCTCAGTTCTGTTACTTTCATTGTTCTCTATCCATTCTTGTGATGGGAAGGGAGAGCGGAAGGACCAGTCCCATGCCTCTCCCCATTTCTTCCTGTCACTAAAGGGTATACCTCTTGTGCCACTGTTCAGACTCTGCACTGCTGTGGGGAATGCCTGCCTCCCAGTCATCCATTTAACAAATAGTGATTGTTAGGTACAAAGGTTATTAACATTTGGCAATTAAGCATAAGTGCTTCCACCTTAGCAGAGAGACAGATACAAAAGAGATAGTAATAGTACCATCCGATGAGTATTAACAAAGGAGAAAAGCAACATATTGTTGGGGCACCAGGAAAAGGTTCATAACCCTTCTAGTAGAACTAGGAGTAAGTACAAAGAAGACTTCCCTAAGGAGGTGTTGCCTGCACTGAGTTCTCAGCAATGGGCAGGATTTTGCCATGAGAAGAGTAAGAATAAATCATTGTAGGCCTGATCAAGGTATAGTACATGCATGCATGCTAAGTCACTTCAGTTGTGTCCTACTCTTTGCAACACTATGGCCCATAGCCTGCCAGGCTCCTCTGTACAAGGGATTCTCCAGGCAAAAATACTGCAGTGGGTTGCCATGCCCTCCTCCAGGGGCAAGGTACAGTAAGTCCCCTGCATATGAACGCGTTCTATTCTGAGAACTCATTTTTAAGTTGAATTTGTTCATATAAGTCCAACAAAGTTAGCCTAGGTACCCAACTAACACAATCAGTTATATAGTACTGAACTGTAATAGGTTTGTAATACTTTCCACATAAATAACATGTAAGCAAAGACAAACACAAAAACTAAGAAAACATTTTCAATCTTATAGTACAGAACCTTGGAAGTACAGTAGTACCGTACAACAGCTGATATACAGGGGCTGGTATTCAGTGAACAGGCAAGAAGAGTTACTGCCTGGGGGAGGGAGAGGAGGTAGGAAATGATAGAGCTGAAGGATCATCAGCAAAAGGAGAGCGTGGGGGGTTGCAAGCTGCAATTTCATTCATGCCTGATGTTGATGGAATGTGCATTCACATTTATGAGAGTTCAAAGCTTGAAGGTTCATGTGTAGGAGACTCACTGCACAGGGCCGAGGACCAGCATGGCACGTATGGGGGGACTGAGAGCAGCTGGCCAGCTGTATGAATTTCAAGTCAGCAGGGCAGAGCAAGAGGAGGAGGCTGATCCTTGTAAGCCAGGCTGAGGAGCTTGGATTTCACACACCAGGGGAACTCTCTTCCTCTGGTAATCCAAGACTACACCCAGTGCCAGGGCAAGCTTTCCTTGGACCACAGAGGATTTTACAGAATTCTGAGTCTGAATGCCTTTAGACAGTGATGTCTTGGTATGCCATAATCCCTACTGCGCCCCCCCGCCCCGTTGCCTTTCCGTGGTCCTGGCACTCATGTCTATTTCCTTCTACCTTCTGTAGGCTCTGAGGACATGATCCCTGCTCTGGATGCTGGAGAATCTCTGAAGAATTTTTGGCACGCATAATCAGGCCTCTGCTTTACAAATGTGGATGAGGGCTTTTAGGGGCCCTCTGGAGGCAAGTAAGTCCTTTGGAGGCCATTGTAATAATCCAGGCAAAAGATGTCAAGGGCCTGGAAATATGCCACAGAGGAGGATACAATAGGCATTGAGCGATGGCCCCTCCAGCCACTTGTGGGTATTTTGGAGGCCTGGGGAAGTGTAGGAGATGAGCCAGCTATTCTATGCCAACCACCACCTTACAAGACAGAATGCTGTGACAGTCCTAGCCTGCTGGGTTCCTCCTACGTCACCGAGGCTTAACATCCATCACCTCTTGCCAAGATCCCAACAATCCTGTGAGCTACTGCCCCTCCCTCACCATCCCATGAAGGCTCAGAGAGATGAAGTGTCTCCCATGAAGGGTCCTTGCTAAGTGATTGGTCAGGAATAAAGCCAGGACTTGCTTTACTCGAGTTCACCTCACATGCTGCCTGGTAGGTTTATCTGGACACTGTTGGAGCCCAGAAGCTATGACAGCAGCATCTTTGGGAGCCGACCCAGCAGAGAATTAATACGGACTTAGGGAGGCTTCCCTGTTGGCTCAGATGGTAAAGAATTGGCCTGCAATGTGGGAGATTCAGGTTTGATCCCTGCATCTAGAAGAGCCCTTGGAGAAGTCGCTGGCTACTCCAGTATTCTTGCCTGGAGAATTCCATGGACACGGAAACCTGGCAGACTACAGTCCATGGGGTTGCAAAAGAGTCGGACATGACTGAGAGCTACTACTGCTTTCACTTTCAATTCACTTGGGAGCCACATGACTGAGAAAAAAAGAACTGAAGGTAGACTACCCAAGAGGACAAGCTGAAATGGCGTTTGGTGTCGGTGTATTTGGCTTGGCAAAGCCCGGCTCTGTCTCTCTCAGAAAAGAAGTGAATATCTAAGTGCACTGACCTGTTAGCACACAAATACCAAAACCAGAGTAGGTGTTGTTCTTTGGGGTCCATTGGCCACGAGAAGTGTGAAGGGGAAACCTGGCTGGAAAGGATCCTTTGGAAGAGTCCCAGATGCCCTGGCCTGGGAACTCCTGTCCCCAGCTCTGTTGTTTCTTTAGAAAACACTCCTATAGCCCTAAAAGTCCTACCTACAGACTCAAGCACCCCCTCTAAGTCAATTCTCTTGAAGTATGGTTCTCAGACTGGCAGCAGCTTCATCACCTGGGAACTGGTTAGAAATGCAAATTATCAGGCCCCACACAAACATCCCGAGTCAGAAACCAGAGGGTAGCATAGGGCCAGCGCTCTGTATTTCACCAAACCCACTAGGGGCTTCTGATGTGAGCCCAAGTTTGAGAACCCCTGCCATAGGTGATAACGTGATGATGTTGAGAATGTTTTACTGGCTGCTTTAGTGTATCTCGTGTATTTTTCCTGCAATGTCCCGGGCTTTCTTCAAATGAATAAACACTTTCTGCCGCATCACTTTGAGTCCAGTAGAATCCCAGTGTAGCCAGTTAAAGAGTGGGCATGGACAGGTTGACCAATGGTTGGTTCAAATTCAAATCCCATTCTGGCTTGTTTTGTTTTGATGTTGCTTGATCTGATCTTGGCTTCAATGATAGCTCCTCAGGGAAGGCTTCCCAGCTTTCCCAGGCTAGGTTAGAGGCTTCTGTCATATTTTCCAGGAGTATGCCAAGTTTCTGCTCATCATCCCAGTAGTCATCCATCAGTCTGTGTCACAATCACCTGTTTAATAAATGTCTTTTCTTCCACTTCACTCCAAGTCCAGTGAGGGTGGAGCCTGTAGGTTTCCCGTGCATCCTCATGTCCCTATGGGAGAGTGGAGGAACACAGAGTAAAGATGTGTTCAGTTAACGGAACACCGAGCTCAGCTGGAGGCCTTGTATAGTGGTTCCCTCGGGCTGGATTGTTTCTCCCCAGCCCTGGCTGTGGCTTTTTCTATCTTCTCATTCCAGCTTTAGCTACCAGGTCCCCATCTCCTGACTACCCAACCCAGTTTGTCTCGACCATCACATTGCTCTGTCTTCAACCGAGCACTGAGTCACTATTTAACAGTCTGTTTCATTATTTTATGTTCTGACTTCCTCATTCCCACTCCCCTATTGCACAAGTTTCAAAGTTAGGGGGCTGGTTTATCTAGTCCACTGTGTCCCCAGCACATCAGATTCCCAGTAAATGATTTGCAGATGATACATGACTTTTTACTGGCTCATTACTCAAACACGTATACATCTTCTATGTATGACAATTCCAGAGATGGAGAAAGATAAATCCAAGAAGAGTGCCAGTTGCCCAAGTCACATAGCCAGTGAAGAGCAGAACTGAACTAGAATCTATGGCTTCTGGCTTTTAAGCCCATCCTTTTCCCACCATATTGCTTACCTTTTTGCTTGACCAAAAAGTTTGGTATTTTTGGCCATCTCTATGTCTTGTTTGTAAAAATGTCTATTTAGATCTTCTGCCCATTTTTTAATTGTGCTTTTTTTTTTATGTTGAGCATGAAGGCTTTGACTGTGTTGATCACAAAAAACTGTGGAAAATTCTTCAAGAGATGGGAATACCAGACTACCTCACCTGCCTCCTGAGAAATCTGTATGCAGGTCAAGAAGCAACAGTTAGAACTGGACATGGAACAACAGACTGGTTCCAAATTGTGAAAGGAGTATGTCAAGGCTGTATATTGTCATCCTGCTTATTTAACTTATATGCAGAGTACATCATGAGAAATGCTGGGCTGGATAAAGCACAAGCTGGAATCAAGATTGCCAGGAGAAATATCAATAACCTCAAATATGCAGATGACACTACCCTTATGGCAGAAAGTGAAGAAGAACTAAAAAGCCTCTTGATGAAAGTGAAAGAAGAGAGTGAATAAGTTGGCTTAAAACTCAACATTCAGAAAACTAAGATCATGGCATCTGGTCCCATCACTTTATGGCAAATAGATGGGGAAACAGTGGAAACAGTGACAGACTTTTATTTTCAGGGGCTCCAAAATCATTAGAAATGGTGACTGCAGCCATGAAATTAAAAGACACTTGCTCCTTGGAAGAAAAGTTATGACCAACCTAGACAGCTTATTAAAAAGCAGAGACATTACTTTGCCAACAAATGTCCATCTAGTCAAGGCTATGGTTTTTCCAGTGGTCATGTATGGCTGTGAGAGTTGGACTATAAAGAGTGCTGAGTGCCGAAGAATAGATGCTTTTGAACTGTGGTGTTGGAGAAGACTCTTGAGAGTCCCTTGGACTGCAATGCGACC